CGATAAAATGTTTGTTTTTTCTACGAAATTAACTGCGATTGAAGGGTCCGGTTTATACTATCAAAAGCTATCAGAGAGAGTGCACGTCACTACAAAGGGTGTGTACGAAATTACATGAACGCAACGGCAGTTGACACCCAGGTCTATTGCGTACCTACCCAGGTGACTTCTAAAGCAGGAAACAGAATCTTGTTTTCTTTCATCCTGAGACATCTGCTTCATACTGGCCACTCTGTTGACCCCAAAACATCTTTCCGAGTACCTGTTCGGACGTGAACAACTCGTACATCGCGCTACCTGGAAACAGCCTATAAACGATAAGTGGAACCAGACCTACTTGCGCAGTGGTCAACCAAAATTTGCATATGTAACCTCCAGCTCCTAGGTTAATACATTTCCCCTTCCTTTTCGTTTTAATTTTTACCTCAACTTTTGCTTCCCAGAGGTTGTTTTAAGTTACGTATTCCATTAATTAGTCTATAAGGTACTATACCAGGCATTGGGTTTTTTGTAAGAATTCAAATTTGCCGCATTCTCCTATTCGTTATTTATGTTCTGCAGTGACATGCTGCAGCTGATGACTCGTCGCGTAATCTGCTGATTCCAATAAATCCTACATTACGCGCTTGCTGTAAGTTATATTTCGACCTGGGTTACTGTTTGAATTTGACGGATATAAGTTCAAAGACGCAATGAACTTTTCCCAAGAAAGTAAGAAAGAGACTAATAGAAATGATCCCCTCTGCGCATAAGTTTTTCACTGCAGATGTCGGTTAAGATGGTATGATACAGTTAGATTATTGGTGTGTATTGTCAGTTTGGTGGGAATTCATCATGGGGCCGCCTGAGTGCACGCAAGGCGCGCCCCTCTGTCTAACGGGCACCTGGTTTTAGGGAAGAGTATGGGTGGGCCATATCAGGGGATAAATCGATTCAACCTTTTTTGAGGTGTCTGTACACTCCAGCTAATTCGATACGCCGGTTGATGCATGAATCATCGGAGTGCATGGCCTCAAGAAGTT